TGGAGTGGCGCGTCCAGGTCCGGGTTGGGCAGCAGTGAGGCAGGGTTTAAGGTCGTTGGGGGCAGGAAGGTTATCCTGATAGGATTTAGTAGTAGTCCTTGGTAGTGGGTGAGCCGGGTGTTACTTATCCATCGATTAGGTGGCTGTTTGAGTACACCTTCGATGGCATGTGGGGTAACGACCCGCAATTCTTGACCCATGACAAGTTTATCAGCACCTTGTACCATCAGAGCCATGGCTGCAATCATTTGGAGACAAGGGGGCCACCCGGCAGCCACTGGGTCTAAATTCTTTGACAGGTAGGCAACCGGCCTCCACCAGGGGCCTAAGTTCTGAGTTATTACCACCTTGGCGACACCCTTACTCTCGTCCACGTATAAGTGGAAGGGCTTGGTGACATCAGGTAGTCCCAGTGCAGGCGCAGAGAGTAAGGCTGTTTTGATCTGTTGGAAAGCCGACTCAGCTTTGTCTGTCCAATTAAATGGCTGCTGCCCCCGTGTTGCCTGATACAAGGGTTTAGCCAGTTCTGCGAACCCAGGTATCCATAGTCTACAAAATCCCGCCGACCCCAGGAATTCCCTCACTTTTCGGGTGGATTGTGGCCTGGGGATCTGCAGAACAGTCTGCTTCCGGGCATCTGTTAACCAGCGCTGCCCTCCTTTTAGCAGGTACCCCAGATATGTTACTTCTGGCTTACAGATTTGAGCTTTCTTTGCCGAGGCTCAGTAGCCTAGATTTCCCAGAGCTTGTAAGAGACTCTTGGTCCCTTGAATACAAGCTTCTTGGGTCTCAGCAGCAACCAGGAGGTCATCAACATACTGTAGTAAAGTTATTTCAGGGTGTTTATGTCGGTACTCACCCAGGTCTTCATGGAGGGCCTCATCGAACAGGGTAGGAGAGTTTTTGAATCCTGCGGCAGCCTGGTCCATGTCAGTTGGCCACTTATGCCCCTTCCAGGGTCATTCCACTCGAAGGCGAAGAGCTTTTGGCTCTGAGGGGCTAAAGGCAAACTGAAGAAAGCATCTTTCAAATCTAAAACAGTGTACCATTGATGTTTAGGGTTTAGGGTACTCAGGAGGGTATACGGGTTAGGCACAGTTGGGTGTATGTCCACAACCCTCTTATTGATTTCTCTTAAATCTTGTACAGGTCTGTATTCTCCACTATTAGGTTTTCGTACCGGCAACAATGGAGTATTCCAGGGCGAGTGACATGGGTGAAGGACCCCTTGGTCAAGGAGCCGGCGGATATGTGGGGCAATTCCTTTCTTGGCCTCTAGGGGCATCGGGTATTGGCGTACCCGCACGGGGTCTGTCCCGGGCTTAAGTACAACAAGCAAGGCAGGACAGTGTTCTGCTAGTCCTAAGCCCCCCGTTTCCGCCCAAGCTTCTGGATATTGCTGGAGCCAGGTTGCTATGTCCTGGTCAGGGGCCGCTCGCTCCTGGTGGAGCTGGTACTCATCTTCTAGGGTTATAGTCAGGACGGACATGGGCCGATTGTGGGAGTTGGTCACAACGGGCCCCTCAGGGAGGAAATGGATCTGTGCTCCCATTTTAGTTAGCAGGTCTCTCCCTAATAGGGGACAGGGGCTCTCAGGGATGACCAGGAAAGAATGGGTTACATTCCTGGCTCCGAGGTTTACTGTCCTTTGTGTTGTCCATGGGTATTTCTTAACTCCTGTGGCCCCTTGTGCCCACGAGGACTTGGAGGATAATTTTCCATTAGTTTTAACTAGGACTGAGTGCTGTGCTCCCGTATCGACCAAGAACTGGACTGGGGACCCCTCCACTTGCAAAGTTACCCTAGGCTCGGGGAGGGGGTTCGAACCCCGTCTTCCCTAGTCTTTGTCTTGAGTGACTAGTACGGGTGTAGACCTAGGGGGTCCCTGTCCTCGTTGTTTCTCTTTGGGGCAGTCTCTTACCCAGTGGCCAGCTTCCTTACAGTAGGCACATTGGTCTTTGCTCAGATTATCATGCCTGGGAGGCCGCCTAGGTTGGGTGTTCTCTGGCTGTAGATGCTCTTTCTGTACCACTGCTGCCAGGACCTTGGTCATTTTTTCAGTGGCCTTTATTTGCTTTTCCTCTGGAGTATCTCTGTTATTATAAACCTGCTGGGCTATCTGAAGGAGGTCCTGAATCCACTTTCCCTCTAAGTCTTCTAATTTCTGGAGCTTCCTTTTAAGGTCTGGGGCTGCGTGATTTACGAAAGACATTATAACAGCTGCCTGACTTCCTGGAGCCTCTGGGTCTATGGGGGTGTACTGTCTAAAAGCTTCCATTAATCTTTCTATGTAGGTAGCTGGGCTCTCTGTCTTTCCTTGCAGAACAGAGTATACTTTAGCCAAATTAGTGGGCTTGAGAGCAGCTGCCCAGAGACCCGCCATTAGAGTCTGGCGATAAAGGCGTAGCCGTCCCCTACCTTCTGCCGTGTTGTAGTCCCACGCCAGCCTGGTCAGAGGAAAAGTCGCATTTATGAGGTCGGGGTTGGCAGTCGGTTGACCGTCGTCCCCCGGGACCAGTTTTCTAGCTTCTACCTGTGTTCTCTCGCGCTCCTCTGTTGTGAACAAGATTCAGAGGAGCTGCTGACAATCATCCCAAGTGGGCTGGTGGGTGAACATGACACTATCCAGTAAAGCCATTAAATCTTTGGGGTTGTCTGAAAACCGAGCACTCTGGGTCTCCCAGTTATACAGATCACTGGTAGAGAATGGCCAGTACTGGAGCCTGGGGATTCCTGTGTCATCTGGGGGTCCTATTTCCCGAAGGGGTAAAGCCACCATGGAGTCAGGCGGCTGGGGGGGGGCTAGCCCGCAAAGTGCGCCATCGTGTCCACCCCGCCGGACCTTCAAAGTTACTTTCCCTTTCGGCGGGCCGTGTGTGCTGGCCGCCTCCCGTCCGCCTGCTCCCTCCCGCCGCTCAGCCCGGAGGGTGGGTCTGGGTGCGTTGGCCGCCTCCCGTCCACCTGCTCCTTCCCGCAGCTCAGGCCAGGGGGCTGGGGCCTGGGGCCTGGAGGAGTACGGAGGGGGTTCTGTGAACAGTGGGTCCCCGCTTTCAGGTAGAACAGGATGGGGGGGCAGTTGGTTGCTTGGATTTTAGCGGCCGAGCCACCAGTGCCTTACAAGGTTCAGGGGCTAATTGGAAAGGTGACAGACAAGGAGGCGGGTTCTCAACAAGGTCCTGCCATATGAGGATATATGGGATTTGATCCAAGTGGCCCGCATGCCCAGGTAGGAAAATCTTGGACTTTACTCTAGTGATGACATCAAGTCGGAACGTCCCTTTGGGTGGCCATCCCACATCAAAGGCAGGCCATTTGGAGCGGCATAGGGTAATGAGCTTTCCCCTCCTGATTTCCAAACTAAGATTATGGCCCCTTGTTCTTACATCTTTGAAATTACTTGTAAGGAGAGATAGGGGAGTGCTCTGGGTATTACCCATCCTGTAATAATTTGTAGTCTCTTCCTGTAAAGGAATGTGGGTTAGAATCCCTGTGAAGGAAATCTGACATTAATGATATCTAGTCGCAAGCGCGCTTTGGCAGCCCGGGTCAGAAACGGCTGCTGCTCAGATTGCAAACGTGCTCCGGCAGCTCAGATCACGAGCGCACCCTGGCAGCCTGGGGCAGAAACAGCTGCTACCCAGATCGCAAACGCGCTCTGGCAGCTCAGATCTCGAGCGCGCCTGGCAGCCCGGGTCAGAAACAGCTGCTGCCCAGATCGCAAACGCGCTCTGGCAGCACAGATCGCAAGCGCGCCCCAGTAGCCCGGGTTAGAGTCAGCTGCTCGGATCGCAACCGCCCTCCAGCAGCACAGATCGCAAGCGCGCTCCGGTAACCCGGGTCAGAGTCAGCCGCTGCCCAGATCGCAAATGCGCTCCGGCAGCTCAGATCACAAGCGCGCTCCGGTAACCTGGGTCAGAGTCAGCCGCTGCCCAGATCGCAAACGCTCTCCTGCAGCTCAGATCGCAAGCGCGCTCCGGTAACCCGGGTCAGAGTCAGCCGCTGCCCAGATCGCAAACGCGCTCCGGCAGCTCAGATGGCAAGCGCGCTCCGGTAACCCGGGTCAGAGTCAGCCGCTGCCCAGATCGCAAACGCGCTCCAGCAGCTCAGATCGCAAGCGCGCTCCGGTAACCCGGGTCAGAGTCAGCCGCTGCCCAGATCGCAAACGCGCTCCGGCAGCACAGATGGCAAGCGTGCTCTGGTAACCCGGGTCAGAGTCAGCCGCTTGGATAAAAATCAGACGAGAGCCAAGGGACGTCTCCCACTGGTCTCCAATGGCCGTCCTATAGCGCGTCCGCCAGGACTGCGCCAGCTTCAGTTTCAGACCTCGCAAGTCACAGATTCAGGTTCAGAACAGACACAGACAGACAAACGGAGACGAGCCGGCTCACCTATCAGTAGATCGATCCTAGTAGATCCGTTGACCAGGGGTCTGGTGGGCTTGGGGAATCCTGGACGAGCCCCCAGATGTTATGCCCAGACCGTTTGTTCCCCAAAGAAGACCACCAGAGTCCAGAGTCAAAGCCAAGCGGCAAGGATCTTTACTACAAGTTCGAACTTGGTCCCTCCATTCCACAGCATACAAGAGGGCCCCGAACAATGCGAGTGCTTGCTTTTTATAGCCCGATGTAAACAGGATATGTAAAGTTACAGGGGAACAAGGTAATTCTCTCGGTTACAGCATTACAATTGGTTAATATTATACATTTAGCATTTTTTAGTGGTTCCTGCTGCTTCCTTATCGGAGATTTCCCAGGTGGTGTTTTTCTGAAGTTTGAAAGAAATATGGAGGAATGTGTTTGTGCTGGGCTCAGGAAGTTGGGAGATATATGGGGGATGTGTCTCATTCCTTTCAGCACCACCACACCTGGTTATTTTTTGTATTTTTTAGTAGAGATAGGGTTTTACCATGTTGGTCAGGCTGGTCTTGAACTCCTGACCTTAGGTGATGCCCCCATCTCAGCTTCCCAAAGTGCTGGCATTAAGGGCATGAGCCACCATACCTGACCTTTATTTTCTTATTATAATCTCAGATAAGCAGTTAAATGGAAATAAGAGAAAATGAGCTATTTCTATATACAAATAGGCCTTGATTTTTTTAACTTTCTAACTAAACTAATTTATTTTGAAGCACATTATATTTACATTTTCATCCATGTTTAGAATTAAACACTTTGACTGGCTATCCTTGCATACAAAAGGAGTCCAGGAAAAAAATTTCCAAAACAAAAAATGGAAAGTAAGATCCTAAATCAATCAATTTATTTTAAAAGTCTCTAAGAACCTGGAAATGCTCTTAGGTAGACTGAAGAGTCACAAGTCTCATACTCATTTGTCAGTAGCCACAAACCTACTTTGTCCCTTCTGTGGTCATCTGTCCCCTTGATGTGGGATTAAATGAAGCCTGGACCACTCAGGGGTAAGCCATTTTCAGATAATGGGGCTTACTTTGTCAAAGTTGTGATGCAGAACACACAAAATCCTGGCTCCTGGTGAGACTTAAGTGATGTGCCAGTGGCTAATGCTTAACAACTCACTTGATGATCTATGAATATTAATGTTAGGCCATTCACTTGTAGATTTCAGACAGGGAATATTTTAGAACCTTTTTTTCCCTAATTCATGCCTTATGAGATAAAATGTGCTTGAGAACACTGTTTTAAATTACCAGCACCCCTTCTACTCAAGTGCTACATGCAGAAAGAGAAGTCAAGTTATTCCCAGCATTGCAATGCAGTATTCTCCAATAGCAGCAAAGTTTCCAGGCTAGCTCACAGGGGCTAGCCTAGTGGAAATATTAACAAATTGCTGAATAACTCTCGTATATGGATGCAATTTCATCCACTGAGACCATGTACAATGCCTGGGAGCATAGAGATGCTCAGACCATTGCCCTCTGAGGACTTGTTTTGAATGAGAGGCAACAAACAGCTTCCACAGTGGATCGGATTCTCTTTGTTCTTGGCCTAAGATGTAGATTATAAGTGCCCAGCCTTCCTATTTCTCCTGGTACCTGTGCAAGCTGATGGCTCACAGCAGGTGGGGCACACATTCAGTGGCCTTGTTAGTCTAGCTTTAGAAGTCCATAAGATAAAAGGCAAAGTTTGAGTTCCCAAATAATTCATAATAAACAGCATATATTTTAACAACCTTTTTGACTGTCTTTTTTCCAACAAAAGACATTTTCTCATCTATTGTTTAAAATAAAATTCCACAGGCTCTGCTTTGACCTGCAGTATTTTATCTATCCTGAGTCTCAGGACACTGTCGATGGAATTAATGTATAATGTGTTAAGGCCTGTGTGACTTTCTCTTGTTTACTTTGGGGGGAAGGATGCCAGGCACATATGCAATGTCTCAGTGCTAATGCTCTATGATGGATTAACTCAAAGCATTGGGAGATGACTCATATTATTGTAGCATGCTTTCCGTTATTGAAGGTGGAGGGTGGGTGGTGGTAGAATGTGATTCTACAGAAAAGGTCCACGTCTTCAGAAGTTCTCCTGGCACTTTTTATTTTGAGGCAAATGTGCTCAGTTTTTGTTCTCATTCTGTCTTTTGAGTTCTGATACCCAGCAGGATTTTCACATGTGTTTATGTTGAAATTAAACCAATGCAAAAATTTTTACCCGATATGTTGCTAATTCCTGAGCCTATTCTATTTACAGTTTTTTCCTCCTGCATAACCCATATCTTATTAAATGTCTTTTCTTCTTCTAGATTGTTTTCAATAGCAGCTCAATTTTAGTTTTATTCAGTCTCAATTTTAGAAAAACCCTGAGATTAGCCAAATATTTGAACATTGTTAGGTATTAATCAGTTTAATCAGAAAAAAAGATATAGGAACATTTCCTACAGTTCCAGAAGAGTGAGCTGTACTAGCTGAGGGTTATTTAATAACAAGTAGTATTTCATCAAAGCTTACATATGTGGACACTAATGATGAGTCATCACCAGAGGAAGATGAAAAATCTGCAGTCTGTATTTGTGTTGATGCCACATTTCAGGGCAAAGGTTTTGCATCCAGACCATGCACTCTACCATCCTAAATCCATGGGTGCTGTGCCAGTGGCTGTTTTCATACTAAAAATGTAGGGAGAAAATGGGCTAACTCCTGGGCTCTCTGACTGCAGTCAGGCCAAGGACGAGGGAACCAGCATCTGTTCACTAGGGTGAGGATTTAAAGCATCTTCTGAGTTTTCAAATCCTACCAAGAAAAGCTTCAGAGGCAGACCTTGAGTCTCTTTGAACTCCATCCTGTCTTTGAATGACTGGGCTCCTCAGCAGGTCTACAGATGTCTAGTTCTTTGTGGGGTGGTGGTAACTCTTGACATTTATTGTCCAGATCTGATCTGCAGCACTTAGGATGCCTCCAGCCTATGGAGATGGAGTATACATCATGCATGTTCACTGTACATGCTACACCACTTCTCAAGCCTCAACCTCTATCAAAGGGCTTTTGGGAATGGCCCAAGATGGGAGTAACCTCTCTTTTCAGCTGCGTCAAATTCTTACACCACGTTCTTTTGTTTTTTTCCTCATAATACAAGGCCAAGCACATCTGCAAAAAAGACATTGCTGGAGGAGGTGCAAGAGCTGGAAACCAAGTTTCCTGTCCTGGGAAAAGCAGTGGTGTGGAAGAGCAGTGGAAAGAGGTAGGGAGCTTCATCCCAATACCTACAGAAAACAAATTCTCCCAGTCCCTTTCTCTGTTTTTCTACTTATACATTTTTTTTCGCATATTGGTTTTCTATAGAAGCACAACATGCTCAGTTTTAAGCATTTTTGGTTATACTCAAATTTAAGTTGCACTCTTTCAGTGGCCACATGAAGTCTGACTTTCTGGGTCACTGGGTCTGTCTCTAGGTAAGAATGGGGGTTTTATTGGGTTTAGAGGTGAGCAAAACTATCCATGTGCCAAAAAATTGATGTCATAGCATTATTATCTTAAGGTGGAAAGGTGTAGGTTTAGCAATATTGTTGGGGAAACCAGCCCCACACCACCCAGCCCCACACCACCCAGTGGGTACCCCCAGTTTGGTGGAGACCAAGGAGTTAGAAAGAGACAGAATAAGCATTTAAAAGGTGGGTCCAGGGGACCGGAGCATCAGAGGCTTGCTCACTGCCCAAAGCTCTCGGGCTCCACCCAATTTATTGTTTTACAAGATCTTTGTTCTTAGGGCAGATGGGAAGGGTTGGAAGGGATGAGGAAAAGGTTTAATCAGTGAAGGAGAACTCAATAAGATGCATAGCAGAGGTGGCTTCTGTGAATTTCCTTGAGCAAAGGCATGTGTCTAAACTACTTAAGATCTTTGACTTATCGGGACTGAAATGGATGGGAGTGGGTTTCAGGAGGAGCCAAGATGTTTGATTGTACTCCACTGCCTCAAGGGAGTGTTACCTCCCTGAGCAACCTGTGGAATGTCGCTGAGTGGTTATGCTCTCGGGGCATAAAGACATGAAGGCAATAAGGAGACTTTTCTCCTGAGAGGCCGCCCATGGCTCCCCATGGGTATCTCACACAGGGGAGACCAACTCATCTGACACCCCAGAAACTCTCTTTCCCACAAGTCTTCCACAGAGGAGTTAAATCCAAGCCTTTGAATTTCAGACTCAATTATTGTATCCAAGGATGAGTATCACACATGAAGGTTTGCATGTGAAATAATTCATGTTATTATTCATTTAAATCTTGTTAATCCCACTTCAGCATATCTAGGTGAGGGAGTTGTTTTTAATTAACTAATATTTCTGCTGGGGTTGAGAAGGATCGTGTGAACTTTGGAACAATATTGCTTCTTGCATTCCTAATTGCTTATGAATATCAGCCTGCCTGCCTTCCCTGCACGTAACAGCTAGGCCTGTGCATAATTTTTGTTTCATCACATATGTTAAGACTGTCTTAGAGTGTACTCTGTTAATATTTCTATACCACCAAGAAAAATTTTCCTGGCCTTGAGAAAAATTTTCAGAATACTAAAACCCATTGCTGTATTAAGGATATGGAATGTCTAGAATATTTTGAATATCATTCTATAAATGCTTAGAAGGAAATCTGTAAGTAACTTCTAATGAAACACATATCTAGAAGTAAAATATTTATAGAGATTTCCACTTTGTATTTTATATTTTATTTCTACCACATTTTAACACAATAAAGAAAGCTTTTTTTGTTAAAGAGAATCCAAAAATTTTGAGAGGCTTTAGAAATATAATTTCAAATAAATATTTTAGGAAGGAGATTATGACATATAGTTGAAGTTGTAGATTTTTGATTACATTAAGTACACTTATTAAGCATTCATTTTATAGCACCTACGCTAGTCACTAAAAAATTATCAGTCTTAGCTGGGCGTGGTGGTGCATGCCTGTAATCCCAGATACTAGGGAGGCTGAGACAGGAGAATCACTTGAACCTGAGAGGTGGAGGTTGCAGTGAGCCAAGATTATGCCATTGCACTCCAGCCTGGGAGGCAGAGTGAGACCCTATCTCAAAAAAAAAAAAAAAAAAAAAAAATTACCAGTCAACAACACAAAAAGCACTGTATTCAATAAAATTAAAATTGTCAATATGTGGGGATACCGGTCTGATTTTACTGTAAGTGTATATACAACTGCTACATGTGAGTGAGGCATGCACAGGATTGTTCTATATTTCACTTGGCTTAAGCACATGGCTCAGAACCTACTAGAGTTTTAAGGACCTACAACGTTCTTTGGGACCTGAAAAAAATATTTATAGGCTCCAAAAATTGGGGAGCAGGAAACCTTTGCATAATAAAACTAAGAAACACTTAAAACACTGTAAAATGAATATCAGTTGTAATAACTGTTAAGCTTAGGAAGCACAATGAGTTTATCATATTTAGAAACAATTCACAGGCTTTCTTATATCTCAAGAGTTCTCAGGTATACACAATTGCTGAGCAAGCATAAGCAATTTCTAAGTAAAATGAGAATTTCAGAGTGCCCCAAGTTCTAAAACTCCCTGAAAATATTATACAAGAAAACATTACATAAGGCTGAAATCGGGTGTTGGCCTGCTGGGCTCTTATCAGAAGACTCTGGAAAGAAACTTCTTCCATGCATGTTTATGCTGTTAGAAGAATCTATTGCCTTTCTTGCGTTTATAGAACTGAGGTAACCATTCCTTACTGGATGTCAACTCCAGGACAGGGGACACCTTTATATCCTAGAGGCTTTTATAAGGACTTTGTATTTGTCCCTACATCTTCAAGCCAGCAAAAATGAGTTGAATCCTTCTCATACTTAGAATTTCTCTGACTTCCCATTCTGCTGCATGTCTCTTATTTTCTGTTCTGCCACATCTTCCACTGGCTTTGTACCTTCCCCTTCTGCTTTTGAAGGCTCATGTGATTACATTGGGTCTGCCCAGATAACGCAGGATAAAATCCTTATTTTAAAGTCAGCTGACCAGTAACCTTAATTCAATCTGCAAAGTCCTTTCACAGCAGAACTTACATACAATTACAGTGTTTTATTAAATTACCTCGGGATAGGGAACTGGGGGTTTCTTGAGAATTCTGCCTACCCCAAGAAGATATTCTGGGCTCCTCTCTTTTATATAGAGTGTTGTTTCTTCCTCATATTTTAAAATTCCTCCTCTTAGGTCCTTAATCATTGAAAATACTTATCTTATAATCTTTATTTGCATTGTTATTTTATAAGACCCTTGGAGGGCAGTCTAAATGTTTGTGTCTGTTAATTTGTGATCATAGGGATTGGTTTCCTTCATGTTTCCTTATGTCTGATTGTAAATTTATTTCAGCCTGGGTTGAGGTTTTGTGTTTACTCTACCCTCTGACTCCTTATGTTAATTTAATGTTTGGGACTAATCAAACCAGGCACATAGTGTAAATTCAAACCCAAAATCTATTTGAAAGCAAACCTGTTTACATTATTATAGCACACTCTGTACCTCCTCTCCAGAGCATAGAGCAAACTGGACAAGCTTTATTATTGTCTCCCAATGTCGTGGTTTGGGGTTTGTGATTTCTGTGCATGTGTGTTTTTTTGTTTGTTTGTTTTTGTTGTTAAATGTTCTACCCTTCTGCTGAATGTGTACCCCTTTGAAAGTTTCAGCCATATGAACAGGGTCTCATCAGTTTCAAACTTTCATTTATTAGAAGCCTGAAATCTTTGTGTTTGGAACATTCAAACCAAAGTCCATACATTATTGAGACAGGATAACTTCTCTAAGGCAGCCTCTTTGAGCTTTAAGTTTTAAGGTATCCATTTTATTTCTGACCTCTAAAGATTTTTCTTAGTTTCTTAGGGACTCAGGTATTCATTTTAGGTAATTTTAATTAGGATAGTTTTTAGGTTGTCTAGTTTTTCTTTTTACCAGAAACAGAAATTCTTTCAGTGATTTATTTTTCAAACCAAGTTTTATGACCTCTACAACTACAACTCCACTCATGTCAGGAATGACTTTCACATTGCCAAGTCAGTAAATATTTTGTCTTGATCTTAGGCCACATTTCATCAAAAACGTTTTCATTGAGATATTCCTGTTAGAAACACTTTTTGCTTTAATATTCTAATATTTTTGCTTTTGTAACAGTGTGCTTAGCTTGGCTTTCCTATTTTTTCTTCTTTTACTTCACTTTAATCTTTTCAGGACTACATGTGCAGGTCTGTTATATAGGTAAATTAGTGTCATGGTAGTTTGTTATACAGATCATTTTATTCCCCTGGTATTAAGCCTATTACCCATTCATTTTTTTTTTCTGATATTCTCTCTTATCCTACCCCACCTTCCACCTTCTGATAGGTTCAAGTGTTTGTTGTTCCCCTCTATGGGTCTATGTATTAACGTTTAGCTCCCACGTATATGTTAGAACATGTGGCATTTGGCTTTCAGTTTCTGCATTGGTTTCTTAAGTGTAACAGTCTCCAGTTCCATCCCTGTTTCTGCAAAGGACATAATTTCATTCTTTTTATGGCTGCATAGTATTTCATGGTCTTACTATTCTGACAATTTTTAGTTTTCCCATAGCTTTGTTGTATCCTAAATTGTATAAAAATTCCTTGGACGTTTGCTTTTCTCAGTCCACAATTTTATCAGATTTTAATACTTAAAATATTTTTTCTCCAATATGACAATGGCTACTGAAGTGATCTCCCTGACTCTACTCCTCTGTTGTCTTTCAAGGAATTGCCCACCCTGCAGTCAAAGTGATTTTCTTTTTGAGATAAAGTTTCACTGTTTTTTTTTCTTTTTTTTTTTTTTTTTGAGATGGAGTTTTGCTCTTGTTACCCAGGCTGGAGTGCAATGGTGTGATCTCGGCTCACCACAACCTCCACCTCCTCGGTTCAAGTGATTCTCCTGCCTCAGCCTCCTGAGTGGCTGTGATTACAGGCATGTACCACCATGCTTGGCTAATTCTGTATTTTTAGTAGAGATGGGGTTTCACCATGTTGGCCAGTCTGGTCTTGAATTCCTGACCTCAGGTGATCCACCTGCCACAACCTCCCAAAGTGCTGGGATTATAGGCATGAGCCTCCGTATCTGACCCAAAGTAATATTATTGATACAGGAGCTATGTAGAAAGAAATAATTTAAGCATATAATGAGGGATAAAGAGTCATTGACAGAGCTTCCCTTCTAATAAAAAGCAGCCCAGAAAATTATTTCTTTTTTCTAACAAAGAGCAGCCTGAAAAATTGAGCTGCAGACATAGATAAACATACTGGAAGCTTGCATGGGGCAATGCTGGCAACTATGCCAAGAGAAAAATGCTACCTGGGGGCCACACATAGTCAACATGGAGGTTCCATCTTCCCTTTTGTTACCATGTTTATAGGAACATAGAAATGGGCAACATGTCACAGCTTAGGCAGATAACCTGCCTGCATAATAAAAGATTAAAATGGAGCTACCAGAGATTCACCTTCTATGCAAATGGCACACCTGGTCTAACCAGTTTTTATGTCCTATTCAAATCAGACACTGCCTCCTCGCCAGCTGATCTTTAAAACCCTCTGTATTTTGCCATAGACAGGCAACCCATTTTTCCAGGACAACTCTTTGCAGCAGACAGCTATTCTCTTTCTTTTGACCTCCACTCTCAATCTCACTCTTTGTGTGTCTGCATCCTAGTTTTACATGGCCATAAGATAAGGAACCATGGGTGTTGGGTAAGTATAGCAGTGGACCCCAAATCTCTACTTTTATTTTGAGGTCTTTGCTCCTCAATTTTAAATTGTAAAATCAAACTTAAAACTGGGTATCTGATGGCCAGTTAAGAGGCTGGGTATCTGATGGCCAGTTAAGAGATGGCCAGTTGTGCTCACTACCATTCTCAAGATGCAGGTGAGGTGACAGGTTTGCTGTGGAATGCTGAGCAAATCCCCCAGTGCCCTCAGGATGCTGGGAATGTTGGTTCTGTTTTGAATGGATTAACTTTCACAAAGAACCTTGCCGTCCTGTGGGACTGGAGGAGATCCAGAGGCAGTTCCTGGCCAAGGCTACACCCCAATGTTACCCAAAGGCTTCTGGATGTACTCTTCCCGCCTCTTACTGCTCATTAGGCATCAGCAACACAATCTCCAAGGTTTTTTCATCAATTTTTTTCTTTCCTCTCCATGACCACCATGTCTCCTGTCCCCTCTTTGTATACAATGCTGCAAAAATTTTTACAGTTAAAGGAAATAATCATATCAGGCAAGATCAGCAATTCCACAGTAACTGGGCATATAGCTTAAGAGATTTCCATTTTTGTGATTTTTCTAGGAACAGAGGGTCTCCCCTCCCCTACCCAGTGAACATCTTTTTCTCTATCCTTTGTCTGGAAAGTACACGATATTTCAAGACCTACAGTGCCACCCAGTGGAATAGGAATCCTCTCCAACAGATACCTTGTCAGGCCTTTGCTGGAACACTGTATTTTCCCAATACTATTCCCTTTTTGCACCCCTCAACTATAAACCAAGCTTTATGCCCCATCCATGAATGGGAAAACTCAACAATGAGGAGGAAAATGTCTCCCAAAACCAAATTTTGTGTCAATAATTTCCCTTCAACAGAAAAACTGCCATTTGGTCACTACATGTTTTAAAGGCACCTGTTCTACTTCCTGTTACAACAATACTTAAATAATAAGGGGATTTCATGTAGTAAGGATGCTAACCAGAACCACTGCCTAAGAATATATACTTTAATCTGGGGTATAATAACAGCATATAGAGCACAACTCAGTACTCTCGCTCCATTAAGGGGCCTTGCCCACATACAGCTATTACATAGTCTGTCCTGAGAGCCATCTATTGGGAAGCCACAGAGATCACAGAAGTCTAGAAAATCAAAGGGAAATCGCCAACAGAGGACTAAAGTTGAATTGGTAAGTGTGACTAATCCCATTGCTTAGTTCCCCCGGATCCATGTCTGAGGGTGATGTCTGCATCCACTTTAATGGATGCTGGGGCTCAGGGAATCAAGGAAAGAAACAGTTGAAAGGATACCCCCATTGGCACCTCCTTTACCCTGGATCATTCCAAAAGAAAGGAAGGACACTAGGCCGGGTGCAGTGACTCACACCTGTAATCCCAGCACTTTGGGAGGCCAAGGCAGGTGGATCATGAGGTCAGGAGATCCAGACCATCCTGGCTAACACAGTGAAACCCCATCTCTACTAAAAATACAAAAAAATTAGTCAGGCATAATGGTGGGGGCCTATAGTCCCAGCTACTAGGGAAGCTGAGGCAGGAGAATGGTGTGAACCTCAGAGGCAGAGCTTGTAGTGAGTCGAGATCACACCACTGCACTCCAGCCTGGGTGAGCCATCTCAAAAAAAAAAAAAGAAAAAGAAAAACAAAACAAGAAAAAGAAAGAAAGGAAGGAGACTAAAGGGATACCTTTTTCTCACTTCTCTTTTTAGATGGGTAACAGACTATCTTCAGCCTGTACTCCTCTGGAGTGCATTATGAAGCATTGGGACTCCTATGACCCCAGGACTTTGAAGAAAAAGTGGCTAATTTTCTTTTGCACAAAGGTATGCCCTTCTTATTAGCTTGAACTAACCTGACTTTGGAGGGAAGCCTTGATTTTAATACTATCCAAAAATTAGATCTTTGTAGACGAGAGAGCAAATGGGTCAAGGTTTTCTATGTACAGGTTTTCTTTGCCCTGTGAGACAACCTAGACCTTTGCAAACATCGCGCAATTGACCCAGCTCTTTTAGCAGTCATATCAGGGAGGCACAAAGGAAATAGTTCTCCAAAACTAGAAAGGCAACTTCTAGGAGAACCATCTGAGGGAGCAATCTAGTGTCCTAGCCCCTTCTGTTCCCCTTATTCAGGTCCCCCTCTAACCACACCATAGGCTCTTCCACTTCCACCATATCCAAAACTTCCCACTCCTCCAGCTTTGCTCTTAATCATATGGGAAATGTCCAATGAAGGTGATGCCACTAGCGTTCAAGTTCCCTTCTCATTTCAGGACCTTAGGCAAATAAAGGGAAACTTAGGCCAATTTTCTGATGACCCTGATAGCTATATAGAAGCCTTCCAAAATTTATCTCAGGTGTTTGACCTCTTGTGGAGGGATGTTATGCTGCTCCTAAGCCAAGCTCAAATGCTGCTGAAAAACAGGCAGCTCTACTGATGTCAGAGGAATTAAAGATGAGCAATATGTCTCTTCTAGTAGGCCAAAAAGCAAAAGAGAAAATAGGTAAGGACAAAAAAAGGGAAAACACAATTCCCAATAAAAAGAGAGGAAATAACTCCTGACAACCCTCATTAGAACCCCAATGACTTCACAGATAAATGGAAAAGAAAACGCTTTTTATTGTGCATATTGGAAGGCCTGTGAAGAATTAGTGCCAAACCTCTTAGTTACTCTAAAATGTCCATGACAGACAAAAATCCACATGAGAATCCCACAACATTTATGGCAAGGCTGAGAGAAGCACTAATAAAACATACCTCCATATCACCTGAAACAGTTGAGGGACAGCTAATTTTAAAAGACATGTTTATTACACAGGAAGCTCCTAATATTAGAAGGAAACTACAGAAGGAGGCTACAGGACCAGAGACCACCTTGGAAAATCTCTTGAGGATGGCCACCTTGGTATTTTATAGTAGGAACCAGGAGGATGTCCAGGAGAAAGAGAGGAAACACAGAGAAGGACAGGGGCTGTAGTAACTGCTTTACACACATGCAAGATCCAGGATCCCTGAGGTGCATCTGCTATTTGCTACCAATGTGGCAAGTCAGGGCACTTTAAGAAAGATTGCCCAGGGAGCAAGAAGCAGCCATCTGGACCCTGTCCAGCACATGGCAGTGACCACTGGAAATCAAACTGCCTCCAGAGATGGAGGTCACCATGTCCAAAACCGGTTTCACCAATGGTCCAGCAGGACTGATGAGAGCCTGGGATCAGACCCCCAGCTCCAGTGGTTCGAACTGCCATTATTGCTCAGGAACCCTGGTGATTCTGGAAATTGAAGGAAGGAGGATGAATTTCTTTCTGGACACTGGAGCCAGTTTTTTACTTCTCTCTAATCCAGGCCTCCCCTCTTTCTGTAGCATAACCATGATATTCATCTCAGGAAAGATTCTAACCTGATATTTTTCTCAACCACTTAGTTGTAGTTTGGGAGATCTATTATTTACACATATCTTCTTAATCATGCCTAAAATCCCACTCCTTTATTAGGTAGAGATATTTTAACTCACATGGGGTCAGCATTCTTATAGCCCCAGAACAAACTCTTTGTTTCCCCCTGGTGGAAACTAATATCAATTCAGAAGTGTGGGCAATTCATGGAAGAATAGGTCAAGTTATAAGCACTAGGCCAGTCCAGATTCACCTTATGGATCCCAGTTTTTTGAGGGGTTTAGGCGATAGTTAGGACAATATTCCCTAAAGCCAGATGCTAGGAAAGGGCTAGAAGCCATTATTAATAACTTGAAAATGCAGGGCCTCATCAAACCCTGTAACAGCCCTGCAATACAACTGTCCCAAGGAACACACCTTCTTTGGGTCATTCTTTCCAAGGCTTTACTGTGGCTTTACCCTTCAAAGTTAGGGCTGAACCCTTTTGAAATGCTATATGGATGGTCTTTTCTTACAAATGATTTTATTTTAAGGAAAGAGACCTCTTAGTTGGCTTAGCATATAACCCCCTAGCTCACTTTCAACAAGGATTAACACAACTTAGACAGAGAAATCCACCTACATAATAAAAGATTAGGGTGGGAGTTACCAAAGATTTGTGTTCTATGCAAAGGGCACACCTGGTCTAACCAGTTTTTTACACCCTATATAAGTCAGACACCACCCCGTCACCATCTTATCTATAAAACTCCAGCATTTCACAACAGACCACCAGTCAATTTTTCCAGACACCTGTCTGCAACAGAGAGCTATTCTCTTTCTTTTCCATGTTAAACTTCTGCTCTCAACCTCACTTTTTGTGTGTCCATGTCCTTGTTTTCCATAGCTGTGAGACAATGAAACTCGAGTGTTACTCCAGACATCGAAGCTATTTTATTATGAAAGCATACTTCTGATTATGCAGTCTCCTGCTTAAATTTTTTAAATGGCTTTCCATTAGAATGAAATTTAAAAGTCCTTTATGCCCTGAAAGCCTACACCAATTGACTCCTAGCTTCATCTGTGAGTATCTTATTTCTTTTCTTACTTTACCATAATGACTGTATCAGCTAGGGTTGATTGTTGCATAAGCCACAGAAGTAAATTCTGTGCAATTTAAGCAAAAAGGGGGAATATATTACCTATTTCTGCTTGTTGCACAGAATTAAGTGCAATGCCTGTCTCGTAATTCTGGAAGGACAGAAATAAGCTTAGTTTTAAGAGTTAGATGAACAAGAATTAACTAATAGGCTTCATTTTACTACCATTGGACTAACATAGGTCTGACCATTTTCTGCCCTTTTGAGTACATGTTTAAAGTTTAAACACCCAAGAGAAACTATTATTGTCTTGGCATGTGTCACATGTTCAGCCATGGGCCAAGAGGGTATGAAATGTGGGAGGCACAATTCACTGATAGAAAATATAATGCTATTTGGGAAAGAATATAATGCTATTTGAAAGGAATTCTGAGTAAGTAAAAACAACAGAAATTGTTTCTAAGGATTTCTTATTAGTCGATGCGTCACTTTTGCAGAGATACCTGCTCTAAACTGTTAATCTCAGTGGTCATCTTTTAAAATTCTGTCAAAGCACATTTCAACTTTTTGTTGGGAACAGACCCCCCAAAATTTGGCCATAAACTGGTCCCAAAACTGGTCATAAACAAAATCTCTGCAGTACTGTGACATGTTCATGATGGCCATGATGCCCATGCTGGAAGGTTGTGGGTTTACTGGAATGAGGGCAAGGAACACCTGGCCCACCCAGGGCAGAAAACTGCTTAAAGGCATTCTTAAACCACAAACAATAGCATGAGAGATCTGTGCCTTAAGGACATGCTCCTGCTGCAGATAGCTAGCCAAACTCATCCCTTTATTTTGGCCCATCCCTTTGTTTCCCATAAAGAATACTTTTAGTTAATCTATAATCTATAGAAACAATGCTTATCACTGGCTTTCTGTTAATAAATATGTGAGTAAATCTCTGTTTGAGGCTTTGAGCTCTGAAGGCTATGAGACCCCCAATTTCCCACTCCACACCTCTATATTTCTGTGTTTGTGTGTCTTTAATTCCTCTAGCGCTGCTGGGTTAGGGTGTCCGTGAGCTGGTCTCAGCAACTTTTCATGATAACATTAATATGTGTATGATTTTATAATCTCTATTTCCTTCACTTTAAGTTTCATAAAGGCAAGAATGACATCTATTTAGTTTTTTCTGTAGTATTATTACATCTATTATTTTATCCGGACATAAAAGGCACACATGATTTATATAATACTGTAAAATAAAGTAAATTATGCAAAATTTTACTGATGTAGTCAATTAAATGACGTTAAAATATTTAAGAGAATTTTATAATGGAATAGAAAAATGTGTTTGTTAAAAATAAAAAGAACTGAAAATTCTGTATTGGGTATATAGGCAATTATATAGAAGAAAACAAAACCACAGACTATGCACTAAAATGCTTGAAAAATACTTTATCACTTTTTCATTTATGAAGCTTAGTTTTGATAGACACAAAATTCTTGGCTGGCTTTTATAAGGTTCCAAGCTAAAAGCAGGAGGACCCCAATCCCTCTGGTTTGTAAGGTTTTTGCTGAGAAATTAGCTGTTAGTCTGACAGGTTTTTTTTTTTATATATATAGGTTACCTGATACTCTGTCTCACAGCTCTTAAAATTCTCTCTTTCACATTGACTTTTTTCAGACAAACAAGTGCTGGGGGAATTTGCCACTTCCAAACCAACACTACAAGAAATGCTAAAGGGAGTTCTAAATTTTAAAACAAAAGCTTGCTATACAGCAAAATAGAACCTCTTTAAAGCATAAAACTAACAGGGCCTATAAAACAATAACACAATTGAAAATACAAAGTGTCTAAGTAACAACAGGATTAATTGAATAGTACCTCACATCTTAAGATTAACATTGAATGTAAATGGCCTAAATGCTCCAAGTGAAAGATTATAGAATGACAGAATGTATAAAAATCCACCAACCACATATTCGCTGTCTTTAAGAGAGTCACCTAACACATAAGGACTCATGAAACTTAAGGTAAAAAGGTGGAAAATGATATTCCACGAAAATGAAAACTAAAAGCAAGCAGGAGTAGCTATTCTTATATCAAACAAAACAAACCTTAAAGCTACAAAGCTTTGTTGCTGTACAGTCTGTATCCTTTTTAATATTTAAAAAAAGACAAAGAAGGATACTATATAATGATAAAAGGATTAATCCAACAGGAAGATCAGTTTCCTTTTTTGTCTTAAAAAAAGACAAAGAAGAATACTATATAATGATAAAGGATTAGTCCAACAAGAAAATATTACAATCCCAAATTTATGGGCATCTAACACTGGAGCTCCCAGATTTATAAAACAATTCTTATTAATGAGAAGTGACAACATGCTAGCAGCCCTCACTCATTCTTCTTCTTCTTTTTTTTTTTTTTTTTTTTTTTTTGAGACAGAGTCTCGCTCTGTCGCCCAGGCTGGAGTGCAGTGGCCGGATCTCAGCTCACTGCAAGCTCCGCCTCCTGGGTTTACGCCATTCTCCTGCCTCAGCCTCCCGAGTAGCTGGGACTACAGGCGCCTGCCACCTCGCCTGGCTATTTTTTTGTATTTTTTAGTAGAGATGGGGTTTCACTGTGTTAGCCAGGATGGTCTTGATCTTCTCACCTCGTGATCCGCCCATCTCGGCCTCCCAAAGTGCTGGGATTACAGGCTTGAGCCACCGCGCCCAGCCCCTCACTCACTCTTGGTACCTTCTTGGCCTCCGGGTCCATTCTGGCTATGCTTGAGGAACCCTTCAGCCTGCCACTGCACTATGAGCCCTCTCTGGGGCTGGCCAAGGCGAGCTGGCTCCCTCTGCTTGCAAGGAGCTGTGGAGGGAGAGGCACTGGCAGGAGTCGGGGCTGCATGTGGCACTTGTGGGCTGGTGCAGGTTCTGGGTGCGTAGGGGCTCTGGGTGCCCTGCATTCGGTGTGGCCGGCTGGTGTCTGCTGGGCTTGATTGGGGGCAAGCTCCCTCTGGGCTGCCAGAGTTCCTGGGCTAGGTGCCACAGTCTGGTGGTGAGTACCATTGAGAGGTAAAGCCAGCTGGGCTTCTGGGTCTAGTGGGGACCTGGAGAACTTTTCTGTCTAGCTAAAGGTTTGTAAATGCACCAATCAGCACTCTGTGTCTAGCTAAAGGTTTCTAAATTCACCAATCAACACTCTGTGTCTAGCTAATCTGGTGGGGGACTTGGAGAACTTTTGTGTCTAGCTAAAGGATTATAAACACACCAATCGGCATTCTGTGTCTAGCTAAAGGATTGTAAATGCACAAATCAACACTCTATCAAAACGAACCAATCAACTCTCTGTAAAATGGATCAGTCAGCGCTCTGTAAAATGGACCAATCAGCTCTCTCTAAAATGGACCAATCAGCAGGATATGGGTGGGGACAGTTAAGGGAATAAAAGCAGGCCACCTGAGCCAACAGGGGCAACCAGCTCAGGTCCCTTTCCATGCTGTGGAAGCTTTGTTCTTTCACTCTTTGCAATAAATCTTGCTGCTGCTCACTCTTTAGGTCCATGCCGTCTTTATGAGCTGTAATACTCAAGGTGAAGGTCTGCAGCTTCACTTCTGAAGCCAGTGAGATCACGAACCAACCAGGAGGACTGAACAACTCCAGACGCACCACCTTTATGAGCTATAACATTCACTGTGAAGGTGTGCAGCTTAACTCCTGAAGCCAGGGAGACCACGAAACCACCGGAAGGAATGAATAACTCCAGATGCGCTGCCTTTAAGAGCTGTAACACTCACCGCAAAGGTCTGCAGCTTCACTCCTGAAGTCAGTGAGACCATGAACCCACCAGACGGAAGAAACTCCAGACACATCTGAACATCTGAAGGAACAAACTCCAGACACACCATCTTTAAGAACTGTAACACTCACTGCGAGGGTCCGTGGCTTCATTCTTGAAGTCAGCGAGACTAATAACCCACCAATTCCGGACACACTAACACCTGAGAACTCAGAAAAACAGCAACACAGTAATAATGGGGAACTTCAATACTTTACTGACAGCACTACACAAATCATCAAGACATAAAGTAAAGAAGCTATGAATTTAAATTACACTCTAGAACAAATACACCTAACAGGCATTCACAGAACGTTCTTCTCCCAAACTGCAGAATATGCATTCTTCTCTTCAGCACATGGAAAATTCTTCAAGATATACCATATAATAGGCCACAAAAAAACAAGTCTCAATAAATTTAGAGAAATCAAAATCATATCAAGAATTTTCTCAGATCACAGTGAAATAAAACTGGAAATTACCTTCAAAAGGAACCCTTAAAACTCTAAAAATAAATGAAAATTCAACAATCTTCTCTTGATTAATATTTGAGTTAAAAATTAAATCAAGATGGAAATTTAACAATTATTTAAAACGAACAATAATAATGACACAAATTATCCAAACATCTGGGATACTGCAAAAATGGTGCTAAGAGAAAAGTTTATAGCATTAAATGCCTACACCAAAAAGTCTGAAAGAGCACAAATAGACAGCTAAGGTCACACTTCAAGAAACTAGAGAAACAAGAACAAAGTACACCCAAACAAAGCAGAAAGGAAGAAACAACAAAGATAAGAGCAGAACTGAAGGACATTGAAACAAAAAATAGAAAAGATAAATGAAACAAAAAGATATTTTTCCGAAAAGATAAACAAAATTGAGAGCCCATTTGAAGACTAGTCAAGAAAAGAAAAGAGAAAATCTAAATAAGCTCAGTTAGAAATAAAACTGGACATATTACAATCAATAACACAAAAATTATAAAAAATTATTTAAGACTACTATGAGCACCTTTACATGTACAGACTAGGAAATCTAGAGAAAATTGACAGGTCTTTGAAAATATACAACCCTCTTAAATCTGTAAGAAATAGAAACCATGAAGAACTCAATAACAAGCAGCAAGATGGAATTGGTAATAAAAAGAAAGTTGCCAACAACCAGAAAGGCTAAAACCAGAGGGATTCACAGCTGAATTCAATTAGACATTCAAATAAGAATTGGTACTATTTCTACTAATACTATTCCAAAAAATAAAGAAAGAGGAAATGTTTCCTAAACTATTCTATGCAGCCAGTATCATACTAATAGCTACAGCAAAGGTTACAACAAAAACGGATATCTACAGACCAATGTCCCTGATGAACATATATGCAAAACTTCTCAACAATATACAGCTAACTGAATTGAACAGTACATCAAAAAGATAATACATCATGACAAAGTAGGTTTTATGCTAGGGATGCAGGGATGGTTTAACATATGCAAGTCAATAAATTTGATACGTCTTATGAACAGAATTTTTTTAAAAGTATGATCATCTTGAAAATGCAGAAAAAGTATTTGATAAAATCCAGAATTATATTATGATAAATTTCCTCAACAAAATAGGCATAGAAGGCACTTACTTCAAACAAATAAAAGCCATTTATGACAAACCCACTGCCAACATCACACTAAATAAGAAAATTTGAAAACATTCCCCTTGAGAACTGCAACAAGACAAGGATGCCCACTTTTATCACTTATATTCAGCATAGTAGTGGAAGTCCTGGCCAGAGCAATCAAACAAGAGAAATACATAAAGGGCATCCAACCTGGGAAAGAGGAATCAAACTGTTTCTGTTCACTGGTGGCATGATCATATA